TTAGAACCCAGAGCCGTTAGAACCCAGAGCCGTTAGAACCCAGAGCCGTTAGAACCCAGAGCCGTTAGAACCCAGAGCCGTTAGAACCCAGAGCCGTTAGAACCCAGGACCGTTAGAACCCAGGACCGTTAGAACCCAGGACCGGTAGAAGGACCGGTAGAACCCAGGGCCGGTAGAAGGACCGTTAGAACCCAGGACCGTTAGAACCCAGGACCGGTAGAACCCAGGACCGGTAGAACCCAGGACCGGTAGAACCCAGAGCCGTTAGAACCCAGAGCCGTTAGAACCCAGAGCCGTTAGAACCCAGAGCCGTTAGAACCCAGAGCCGTTAGAACCCAGGACCGGTAGAACCCAGGACCGGTAGAACCCAGAGCCGTTAGAACCCAGGGCCGGTAGAAGGACCGTTAGAACCCAGGACCGGTAGAACCCAGGGCCGGTAGAAGGACCGGTAGAACCCAGGGCCGGTAGAAGGACCGTTAGAACCCAGGGCCGGTAGAACCCAGGGCCGGTAGAAGGACCGGTAGAACCCAGGGCCGGTAGAACCCGGTCACGGCGATGTTTGATTGGCTGATGCCCTAAATTTGCTCCTAATTATTTAAATCTGTATTTTCTCTGCTGCTCATCTTGCAGCATAAAACCAGAAATTTACCGTCTGAAACTCGGACAGGAATCTGGAGGAAACGGCTGAGCTCCTTTTCATTCATCTTGTTTTACTGCGTCAGGTTTTCTGCAGCGTTTTAACTTTAAAAACTAAATCTAATGTTTTTTTCCCGCCTGGTGGTTAAGTTGTTGCTTTTTGAGGCCGTTGTTCAGCCGAGGTCCAGATTAATTTGATTTGTTGATTCTCACATCAGATGTACACGGTGGTTCTGTGCGCCCCTCCCCCACCCGTTGCTGCAGCGAGGTGAACAGAGCTGCTGCGTCTCTCGTTGCTACGGCTGCATTGTTGACTCTGACTGAAGCACTTCACCGAGTTTCTGCATTAAAAGCTGTTGGTCTCCAGTTAGATGAAGTTTTATTTCTTCAAGTGAAAAAAGACGAGTTTTCCGGCCAGCAGCTTTTCCGTTTCCATTTGGATAAAACTCAGTCATGTTTTCTGGAACGTTCAGTAAAATGACTTTCGATCTTAGAAACGGTAAAATTTAACATTTTTGCTGCTGTTAAACTTTTCTACCTTTAAACCAACCAGTTAAGTTTTTCTGTTTTGAACTGGTTTCCCTCAGATGTGCTGCAGATCACAGTCTGCTCATTTATTTCACATATTGACTCATAACTTTATCTTATTTGTAATATTACAACGTTGTTAATATTCCTTTGCTATCAGTAAGGTTTATTTAAATTTGAATATTATGACTCAAAATTTAACGACTTTTACAGCTTTATATTAATATGTTTCTTAAAAATGTATCAGTGATTGAAATAAAAAATAAATAGAATTCCCATTATTTTATGACTTCTTGTAATTTTGTGACTTTATTCGTAATATTATAATTTTATTCACGTAATTCTACAACTTTATTCTCATAGTTTTACAGCTTTATTGTTGCACAGCTTAATATAGGAAGAATTCTGAATTCTTCCTATAAAATGACTTCAGCCTTGTAAGGTTTAACGTCTGTCATATTTTGAGGTTTGTTTTTCATTCCTGTTTTTTCAGCTGCAGGTGGTTGTCCTGCTTTCATCCTCTGCTCTGGTTTCTCCCCATCAGGAAGGAGTTTGTGGAGGGCTGCAAGGCCATCCGGGCGGACAGCATCGAGGGCATCTGCTCCCGCTTCCCCTTCCTGCTGCTGGAGGCGCAGGGCGAGGAGAGCTTCAAGGACCTGTACCGCTTCACCTTCCAGTTCGGCCTGGACGCCGACGAGGGCCAGCGCTCGCTGCAGCGCGACATCGCCATCGCCCTGTGGCGCCTCGTCTTCACGCAGGACATGCCGCCCGTCCTGGAGCGCTGGCTCGACTTCCTGGCCGAGAACCCGTCGGGCGTGCGCGGCATCTCCAGAGACACGTGGAACATGTTCCTGAACTTCACGCAGGCCATCGGGCCGGACCTGAGCAACTACAGCGAGGACGAGGCCTGGCCCAGCCTCTTCGACACCTTCGTGGAGTGGGAGCTGGAGCGCCGGAAACGAGAGGAGGAGGAGGAGGAGGCGGCGCTGACGAAGGACGAGGAGACGGACTGCCCCGCCTCAAACGGGCCGGACGCCGAGGGAAGCCGTGGCGCACAGACGTGGGGAGGCCACTGACCTCAGAACCACACATATTTCTATCAGAGGGAAGAATATGATCTATAAGTGAAGCAGACTTCTGGGAATTATTAGTATTACCATTTCAGCTTTTGGTTTCGCTCCTGTTCGGTTCCTGCACTGCAAAAATATAAAACCTCACCCGTTGATTTTGGTCCAGTTTCTACTGCAAATGTCTTAATCCGCCTGAAACAAGAGAAAACGAACATGCCCAACTATGTAGCTCAATATAATTCATTAATATTAATGAAAATGTTCCATTGGCAGATAATTTCACTTTTAATGGCATTTTCCTCATTTTCTGAGTGAAATAAAGGAAATGACCTTCTACATCTTACCATCAGTATTAATGAATTATTTACTGAAAACAAACTCGTATCTTTCTGAAATTTTACTTAAATCGGTTTTGTTTTATTTGAAATGTCGGTGAAATGATTAATTATGATTAATCGATTATTGTAGTAATCAATTAATCATGATTAATCAAATTAATCAGTTGGCTTTGTTTTCTTTCTTACCAAGTATTTTGTCTGGTTTCTAGTCAAATATCTTGGTGCACCTGAAATGGGACAAAAATAACTTCATGAAGATATGAGCTTGTTTTTAATCAATTATTCATTGGCAGATTATTTCACTTTTCCCCATGTTATAAGTGAAATAATGCAGCACATTGTTATCAATGTTAATGAATTAATTACTTAAAACAAGCTTCTATGTCTTGCTTATTATTTGTGCCAGAGTATTTGCAGTAGAAACTAGACTGACATTAATTGGTGTGTTTTTTGCAGTGAGCTCCAGTTTTCTCCTCTTCAAAGGGCTCTGAGGACTGTTGTTTTAAGCACTTCTTCTGTTTAAGTTATTGTTTCATCCTCTCATGTTTTAGTCATGAAACGGGCTCCGTTTGTTGACTTGGCTCAGTGAAGGTTTGGGCTCCAGATTGGCGCTGCAGTGTCTGAAGGGTTGATCGGTTCTGGATTTAATTCTGCCATTTCGACGCAGAAGCATCACTTAGATTTGTTTTTCTCTCCCCACTTCCTTCAAATATCACTAAATTGGCATCAAACATTGTGCAACGTTTGTGCCGCTATGATTTAAACACATTAAATGTTTCCAGAGGTCATCAAAGGTCAATCGGCCCCAACATTATTTACAAAATCAGACATATTTTGTATGCAGGGAATATTTTACCTGCACAAACACGGCAAAATTAATTTATACCAATTACTTTAGGTTTTGTTTGTGGACAAATTGGGAAACTTTTAAATTATAACAAACAATTTTGCTGCACAATTTTGTTTGATTTCCTTAATGTGGACCAGCTGGTTGACCTTTTATGACCTCTGGAAACATTTATTAAAATCTTTAAACACTGTAAAAACACTAAATCTTACCAGGTTATTTTTGTCTAGTTTCTGGTGCAAATTTCTTAGTACACTGTAAAATTAACCAAAGTAACTTTACAGCAAGAAGTAAGAGCTTGTTTTATGTTAACGCCTTGATGTTGATGAAATGTTGACGATTATTTAGCTTATAAGACAAGTTTTAAGTGAAATAACCTGCCAGTCGAACCAGAACGTTTTCATCAATATAAGGAATTATATTTAAGCAAACCTTTACATTGTGCTGAAAAGTTTCTAATAAGTTAATTTTGTCTCGTTTCAAAAGCAGTAAGATATTTGCACTAGAAACTAAACTAAAATCATTTGCTAAGATTTTGTTTTTGCAGTGCAACGTTTGTAATTGAAGCAATAAAACATCAGATGATGTTAAATTCCTCTAATCAAAAACTAAACCTGTTGGTTAAAAATGCACATTTTCAGGTTTCACTGCAGAAATGAAATCTTTCCACCGATTCTGGCGGATTATTCCACTTTTAGCGAGACATTTTCTCGTGTTACAGGTGAAATAACTTGCCAGTTGAACTAGAACCTTTTCATAAGTATTAAGGAATTATTGACGTAAAACAAGCTCCTATAAATAGCTGAAAAGTTACTTGTTAATTAGTTTAGTCTCATTTCAGGTTTAATAATAGATTTGTACCAGAAACTAGACCAAAAATCATTTGGTAATATTTTGTTTTTGCAGTGAAATGACAAAAATGTTTGCTGCTCAGATGTTTAATTTGAAGACGGGTGGGGATGATTTGATTTTTATTGGTTTAAAATCGAGGTCGTTTCCATGGTAACAGCCTCATCCTGTTTTTTTTTTATTCTCCTGACGTTGATGTCCGCCATCTTTCAAAGACAGCAGAGAAAAGTCGGCTTTCTTCTTCTGCAGGAACTGAAAGCTAGGATTTGTGGGTAATTTATGCAGAAACTCAGGCAGGAGTTTCAAAATAAAAGATAAATAAAAAAGATGAATAATGCGAATACTAATGCTGCTGGCGCTGGCGGCTCAGACCAACGGCCCGCTGATTTGCTGTACTTGAATGCTTTGCACAGATCGATGCTAACCACATGATTACTCTTCAGACTGAGCTGAATTAGACCTGCTGTGTGGTGGAGAGGATGTGACGTCATAAAGGTTGTGGCCACTTCCTGATCTGTTTGGTTTACATCTAATATGGTTTTATTTCAAGCCCACTTTTTATAAGAAATGTACTGATTTATAATAAAAACAGTGTTGAATTTTTGACCTTAAAGGCCTGAGCGAGTTTATACTGGATGGATGGATGGATGGCAGGATGGTTGAGAGGGGTGCAGCATCCATCCATTCATCCATCCGTTTATGTCTCATCCATCCATAGATATGAACTTGGTTACAGCTGGCGCCGGGGGGTCGGTGGGCGTGTCCAACGCTGATGCGGCTCCTCTGATTGGCTGAAATCTCTCCTGGTAACCGACCAACACACGAGACGTGAAATAAAAAACTCCGTATTTATTTGACGGATAAAGTCAGGCTTTCTATATCCTGTAAGTACTTCTATGTTTATCAGAGCGGGAACATTAAAGTTTATTTGGGTGTTTTCATGGACATTTAGAGCTGTTGGGTGTTAAACTCCTCAGCCGTTCAGGTTGTTATTAGCTGCAGCGCTAGCTGTTTGCTAACAGGTTTTAACCTCGCCTGTCAGATTTATGTGTAATAAATGAAACCCGGTGAACAAAAAGAAAAAAGCTTAGTTGTATTTGTACATAAATCGGGTTTTATTCATGGTGAAAACGCGTCATGAGCCGCCAGCTGAGGGGAAATGCCCGTTCGGGTCGGGCTGACCAGATGTGTTGATGCTAGCGAAGCAGCATCGACGCCTCCCACCGTTACATTCAGGTTGAATACAGGACTCCGGTCGTGGTTCACCTTGGGGGTTTATCCTGTGTCCTCCTGCAGGGAGAACCAGACTGAGCTCCGGTTATTACAGAAACCTCCATGATCTCCGGCTGGCAGGATGCGGGATCCTCCGGCAGCTGCAGGACACCATGGATAACCAGGTGACTGTTGGCCTGATTTTAGATTATTACTCCTCATTCTCTATGATCCAACAGGGGATCAATGCACTGATGCATGCCTGATTATCTGTTCTCTATCACTAACCCCTGATTTCTTTCTTCTACTCTCTGCTCTGCTGCTGACGCTTCAGATGCTCTAACTATTAGCCCAATAGAAACTGAGTAAGACCTTTGATTTATTTCCATTGTCATGTATTATGGTTGTAAGAATCACATAGCATGGCTTTCAGGTGACTGTTATGATGTCAAATATTTAGCAAAAATGTATTAATACACCTTTAACATGTTGCAGCAGGGCAGGCCCAATTCATATGCAGGTTAAGCGGCTGCTTAGGGTCTTAACACCACCAGGGGGCACCCTAGAGCACCAGTGTAGCTCGAGAAAATAAATGTATACATGTTTAAAATAACATTGAATCATACAAACTAAGTCTGATTATACATGGAAGAACAATTTCCACATTGTTCTTATAGTTGCTCCATAAATAATGGTTAATTTCTCCCTGTTGATGGCAGCTGCCTGCTGGGGAAATATAAGATTTTAAATGTGTTTTCTGTAAACTTAGAGTTTATCAGCTGATGCTACTTTCAAATATTGAAAATAACACTTAAATAACACTCTGCATTTCAAAATTCAGATAATTGTGTTTTTATTTTGCTACTTCTGTAAGGTTAAAATTAAAATCTCTAATAGCACTGAGATGATGTAAGCTAAATACAGATGATGCTAATGATAGCAGGTATGTTGCACACACAGAGGAGCTTAGAAATGATAAAGCATCTGATGCTAACATGCTGGGTTTTGGGCCCCAAAAAGGCTTGGGCCGGCCCTGACAGAAAATAATTACCTGCCACACTTTCTGGTTTTAATTTGTATGAAGAATTATAAACTAAGTATCATTTTCCTTCATCTTCAGGGCTGTGCTTTAAATGCATTAAATCTGAATAAAACCCCTCTAGGTTTGGTTGTAATGTGATAAAAACGTTAAAACTTCTGATGTTTCTTTGTGTCTGTTTGGAGTTTTATTCTGGGTTTACCACAGGAAGCAGCTTTAACCTCCACTCATGACAGATGTTTGTGTTTTGGTGTGATTCAGCACTTCCTGCTCCTGCTTTATTAGTACTTTCTTTCACTTCTTTTACCTTAAATAAATGTTTCTGTTTTGATGTTGCTGACTCGTCTGCATGCATGAAAGTTTATAAATATTTAGTGCATTAAAATAACCAAATTGAAGCCATAAAACTTTTAGTGCTATAACACAGTATTTCTGCTCTTCCTGTGAGATTTCTTTCTGTAGTCATCATCCAGTCGTTCAGCCTGAGTCTGCAGATAACCTGATCTAACCTGTGTGGTGAATATGAATGAGTGAATTAGGGTGAATAGTTTCCTTGGTTGTGTTTAAAGGGGAGGAAAGCGAGCCGAGGAGGAGCCGGCTGCTGCTGCAGATAAAACTCTGGATGAATATTTAATCGGCCTCCAGCAGAAAAACAGGTGAAGTTTGACTGAAGGTCGGCTTGGATTTCACACAGACGCTCGACTTCGTGACTGTTGGTGGCGCCTGGTTGTTTCCTCTCAACGCATGAATGTGAACGTATGAAAATACAGCAGCTAGGAAAATAATTCCTCCAGAAAAAATGTGTATAAAATATAAATATAAAATATTTTTAAACATGTATAACAAGAAATTATTTATAAATCTAATTTAGATTTATGTTTTATTTTTATTAATTATTTAGATTTTTTTATTACTATGCATGAATGTGTCTGCAAGGTTCTGCTGCAGAATCATGTTGGATTGTTTTCAGAGCCAGAATTTAATTAGTTAATTATGTAGCTTTTAGTTCCATAAAAATTTTTAACTCATTTAGCCTTTTTTTGTTTGTTTTTACATTC